AACAGGCTCTACAAGTAACATCACACCTCCGGGAACTCCCATTCCCACAGGATTAATTGGCAAGTTTTCAACCTATACTTTCTCCATTCAACATATACAGGAATTTTTCTACCTTGTTTTGCCTGAAAAGTTTTTTTTCCTCCTCCAGCAGAGAAGGGTTAAAAGGTTGTGCGTGTAGAATGGCAACATGATTGTGATCAAATATTCCCGGTGTAGCCGATCTGTAGTCTTCTTCTCCTCATGCTTCATCATTCTCACCAAGTTCTAGAGCTCAACAAGTTACCTAGCAAGAAGCCTTTCTTCAAATAAGAAAGAAATGACATCTAGCTTGCCTCTTTACCACTGCAGCAAAGGCAGATGTGCATATTGTTTCCAAGCCAGCAAATCTTAACAATTTCACAAGTCTCTACAACATCTTATTTTTCCAGTACTTCAAAATATGCACATGAATTATGATGATAAAATGCTTTCAAACTGACTCAGAGCACGGAATACAGTTTCCTTTGTCATGGCAATTATTCTGACTTATTCCAAACAAATACTTCAATGAGCTATTTTTAATAAGATGAATTAAGATAAAATTCATGGAACAGAACAGAACCTTAAAAAAAGCAGACTAATATTTTCTACACGCTTTTGATTAAACTTTTTTTTAAGTTTTACATGGTATCTGCTCTACTCTAAAAAAAATTAAAGCATATTAGATGTGTCCTTGAATAAGACTGAGGAACATCTGGCCCTGAACATACTGCATGTGCAGAGGCCATTGGAGGGGGTAATACAGTTTTAGTTAATACCATGGTTCCAAATTCAAAGGATAGGTTGCCCAGTTACTGACATTAATATTTACTCTGCTGAGGGCTGATTCCTGAGCTAGAATTCAAACTATAATAAGTTACAATAAAGGGAAGTATGAAATTATTGTGTTTGTCTACTGCATTTTAAAGGTGATTTCTTTATTGTAAAAGATAAGCCAGGCAAAAGAGAGAGGAAGAAGAACCTATTTTCCACAAGAGTTTCTCCCCTCTGCTCACTTACTATGTAGGGGACAGGAAAAGGGATTACAATTCCTTGAAAAACGGCCATTTAATATTTTGGGTCACATTCAGTGGTCAATGAAACCGATGTAAACAATTTTTTGAACTTGAAGTCGCTATGTATTTAAATAAAGCGCAATGGAGCAGAAGCCAGCCCAACTGCTTGAATGGAGTATCTCTGGATTTATATCAGTGCAGCACTAAAAAACTCAGGTCATTAAATATTTTCATCTGTAATTTCCCTTTTACAAATACAAAATTAATCTGGCACCACTATATCACTTTAATGTACTTCATAAGGCTATGGCATGGGGATGCAAGTTAGCTCCAATTCATATTAAATTGACAACTTTATTCACATACTAAGAAAATAAATAAATTTTGCACAACTATTTTGCTGATTTGTCATCTTGTGGCTGTGAACCAGATCAGAGACCACCGACTGTCCAGGGCTGGCACATTTCTCCTTAGCTACTATTTTAACATTCTAGTTTCTGCTGCTGGAAGGGAAAATAGTTACCGTGAACCATCAGAGCTCTAGGGCTCCTGTGACTACTTAAAATTTGACTCCACTGCAAAATGACACTGGTGCAGGGCATACTCACTTAAGAATGTTTTTAGCTTCCAATGATTCAGCGATTGTGTTTTTATACCAGGCTATGGTGCCAAGCGAGATACTGAAAGAACAGCAACACTGATTGTGCAGGTTAAAGGTAACCTGCGACCTTAGCTTTTTTTATTTTGTTTTCTGTCTTTTGTTTCCAGTAACCACATTTAGTGAAAGAAAACCCAGTGAATGGTTTCATACAGCACAAACAGGATCAACATGCCACGGCTAGAACAAGATGGATATATGACAAATACCACTCACCAGATAAATACAAATCCACAGATTGATGAGTCCCAACACATTTAAAGAAATGAAAGGAAAATAGCACAGATATAAGTTAGATAAGATACAGGGTGTGTAATTTCTAGCCAGCTCAACTAGGAGGTATTTCAAAGCATAGGAGAGCAACAAAAAAGCTATAAGATTAGACATTTAAAGATGGAAGTGAGTATTCACTCAGTACAGCAAAGTTACTGACAAGCATCTGAACTGTTGTAATATAGAAGGCAGTCATCCTTCCACATTAAATCTGTATTAGTTGGATTACCATAACCAGATACATCTACTAGTCAAGGGATGAAACTTGACAGACTGGACAAATCCTCAATCATAACTGGGATTTAGGGCATGCGTCTACACAAGACACTTTACTTGAGATTAGAGCCAATTACTGCGCAGTAAGCGTCACCGTCTATACATGCAGGTGCTTACTGCACAGTAACTGGCTCTAATCCAGAGGAAATTTGCTACTTGTAAATAAATACAAGTAGTAAATTTACTTGGCAGCAATTACTGCACAGTAAGGCACATGTAGACAGCTGACTGGGAGCAAATGTGCTCACAGTCAGCAGGGCAGCAGGAGGCAGGAGACTGCTCCCTGCCCCCAGGAGCTGCCTGCTGCCAGGGCGGGCTCCACCACCAGAGCCCGGGTGGGGACAATGTCAGGCTGGGAGATCAGATAAGAATCTCCCAGCTTCAGCTCTGTGGTCTCCACCGTGGAGTCCGGAGCTCCCTGCTGCTGAGGCAGGGAGACATTGTCCCCACCCAGGGTCCAGTGGCAGAGCCCACCCCAGCAGCAGGCAGCTCCTGGGGGGGCAGGGATCAATGAGCCATCTCCTTGCCCTGTGCTCTCTGCCAGCCCCCAGTTAGCACCCAGAATCCACCACCAGAGCCCGGGTGGGGACAATGTCAGGCTGGGAGATCAGATAAGAATCTCCCAGCTTCAGCTCTGTGGTCTCCACCGTGGAGTCCGGAGCTCCCTGCTGCTGAGGCAGGGAGACATTGTCCCCACCCAGGGTCCAGTGGCAGAGCCCACCCCAGCAGCAGGCAGCTCCTGGGGGGGCAGGGATCAATGAGCCATCTCCTTGCCCTGTGCTCTCTGCCAGCCCCCAGTTAGCACCCAGAAGGAGCCTAGAGCTCCCCCTGGCCGCTGCAGGGTTAGCAGGGGCGAGAGCAGACTGCTGCCATGAGCAGCAAATCTGCTCCTGCTTCCCCGCATGTGTAGACACCTGCCTGGGGTGTGTTTACTCTAAAGCATTTGCATGTGTAGACGTGCCCAGATTTAGGTAAGTATTAAGATACTGAGACCTTGCCAAAGGTTTATTTAACATTTGAAATGTTGTGCCTGAAATTTTTAAGTATGTTCAAGTCTACTGTCAGAGGACAGTATATGACTACTTAGCTGCAATTGAGCTGTATAATGAAAAGGAATGGAGAAGGATGCCATAAAACTGAACTGGTTCCAGTTTTCCCATAGCTTCACCTCTCCCCTCAGTTTCCCCATTTGCTAAACAAAGACAGGACTTGGCTGCTTATCTACGACCTAAAGAACTTTAAGAGTTAGCTAATCCTAACATTATCTTCAACATCACGGATTAATGACTTGATGTCCAGTTATTGAAGTACATTTAGGAATTGGAGCTTGGTTGGTAAGTTACATTTCATGGCTAGGATGGAACAGACTGTCAGTGGAGTTACGCTGACCCTATACTGGCAACTAAGTAGGAAATGAAGGATTGCATCCGTCAGTGTTAAGAACAGAACAGGGCACAACATAATAAAGACCCTTAAGCACACATTCTAAATGCACTGAGATTTTTCTTCTTAGAAACTGGGCATTTGCAATATCAGGAATTTTCCTAGCAGAAAATACAGAATAATGAGTTCAGGACTTACAGGTATAACAGATTTTAAAGTGGTCTGGTTTAAAGTCCACTTATTAAATATAAACATTACTAATTTTAAAACCTGTTTTTTAGATGGATCTTAAAAAAGCTTATTCTTCATCATTTAAAAATAAGATTCACATATAGAAAATATTTCTAACCTGTGTAGAGAATTCAGGCTTTAGCAATATTAGAGAACCCTAATCCAAGTGGAAGCCTATTGAGATCAAAATCTAGTATCTAATTATATGAAAAACTAGCATAATTAAGCATAATTTAAGAGACTTGGCAGAATTCAATTTTTTTTTATTTTATAATTTCAATGGCTAAAATGGATGTTTATTTTTAAGCATTTATTTAGATTTCTAATCAATTTAAATTTTCAGAAATGCACAAATTAGGGGTGTGGGGATGTGCATGCACAGACACATGCACGCGCGCGCACACACACACACATATATATATATACCAGCTTCCTCCTCCAATCCAGCACACACAGGGGAAGCTACTGTGCCACCGGGCTGTTAGCCCACTGCTCAGTCCCTGTGCACAGCACCATCAAGCTCAGCACCCATTTTCCTTTGTCCCACAGCAGTTACTGCCTTCTGGCCCCTCCACCCTCCTTTCCCCAAAAAGGAAACCTCAGGCTGCTGCAGCAGCATCTACCCCCTGCAGCCAGTGGCTTGCTCTGCCCGGCAGCTCCCACCTGAGTTTGCAAGGGAGGGCCCAGCTGGCTGGCACTGAGCTGGGGAAGCAGGGACAGATGCACGCACGCACACTGCCAACTTGTGCCCCCCACCCCAAGCCTCTAGCTGGTGTTTAGCAGGAACTTGCCTGTCCGGGCACCACAGCCTATTATGTCCCCTTTCTATAAATTTCAAGTTGAAATAGCCATTTATCAACATTTACCAATAAAAATTGAACCTTACCAAGCCTAAATATAAAGCATATTATCTTCCTAAATATAGTTTTATGAAGATAATCAAATACTAACAGATAAAAAAAAACAAATATAATTTCCTGGTTCTAAAAAAGCCATAGCCACAAGGACAGGTTCTGCCTACAAATGCGTACTGTACACACATCTGTCTGATCTACAATGAAGCAGCGCCTGCACACCTGAAGGTAGATCTTAGCTCTATTTCACTATTGCTCAGCTGGTTTCTTTCTAATGCATCAAGGTCTTACCCTTCTTTGCCAATCTCTCCAACTTTCAGTGCTTCACCAAGAGGTTCTTTACCAAGTTTGGTCAAATTCATTTTGGTCTCCAGGGTCATTAAGAAAGACCCATTATAAGATATTTCCAAATCAATCCAAAGCCCTAGAATTGTTTAAAAAAAAAAAAAAAAAAGAGAGAGAAGTTGTCTTTAAAATATGACAGTGTAACTTGAAGCAACATACGCAATCATTTTACATCATATTCAGCAAAAAAGTCACTTTAAAATGATAATGTCCATATGTTACTAACTCTACCATACGTTTTCCAAATTGCAAAAGCTTGGAAATACCGATTTTCCTTTCCATCACTTTTTAAAGCAGATCCTCGTATTTATATTAATCTTCAGTTATAAAGACAGTCCCAGTGCTAGAAAAATGAACGCTAATGGCAATGCTGCCATTTTGGTAAGTGAAAAACCTGCACTGTCTACAGCCAAGTGAAACTTGAAAAATACTGTCCCTGAATGAACAGGTGTCCCTTTAAATGTTACTTGGAGGTATAAATATATTTTGATCTAAGCCACAGCAGTATCAAAAATGCTTGATCGTTACTTCAACTGCAAGCATACATGTGCTCTGGGGTAGAGAGGTGGAGGGGACATTTCAATTAGAGCGGCTCTTGGGAGCTGCTCTAATTAAAGTGCCCACAGCATCTCATGTATTCAGCCTCCAACATTTCAAAGTGGTGGTGGAGGGTGCTTTAACTAAAGCTCGTTACTGGATTAAATCAAGTCAGCATGTAAAAAAGTGCCTTTTTTCCTTGATGTTTCGTTCCAAAGACATCACTTGACAGAAGTTGTAGCAATGCAATGTTTAACTAAAAGTTGTAGTCATCCCATTCATTTTGTACGTGGCCATTTATTACAGCCAAGATAACTGCTGAAGACCTAGATTTTTGTAGCCACCACTGTCAGGAATATGTCCTTCTTCCCTAAATGCACGGCAACCATGGAAACCTACGGTGATGTTAAAGAGGGCTATAAAAAAAATAATAAAAAGTCTCTGTGGAGAGAGGTACAGGTGACACTGAACACGACTCAGAAAAAAATATCCATTTTTCACTGTGAAAAAAAACCCTTGCACAAACACAAGCTGATGCCTCCTCATAAGCATTCCTTTGTTAAAACATTTAAAGCTCTACAATTTATTTTGAACTCCAATTGCACTGGAACCCTTGACACCTACAAGGGACAGTCTGTATTTGTTCAAGTTTCATGCAGCAGCCATGTTTTGGTTACTCAAGCATTTCTTGCTAGCTTAAGTATTCACTGCTGCCTCAAAAGGTGGCCAAAGGTGCAGCCCCTAAATACCAAATCTCAGTTTCCATCATAACCAAATAATTTTCCCTCTGTTGATAACTGAAAGGATGGATAACATCCTAGGTGAAGCAGGTAATCTTGATTTTTTTTTTTTTTTTAAAAACCTCCTGCCAGCCATCTAGGGCAGGGAAAGACCAGGCTGGCATGTCTTCATACAGAAGTTCACATTCCTGCTTGATACTTGTCATTCAGTAGTTTAATAAAATACCAAGACAATTATCTGATAAATTACTAGTATAGTGCTACCTGTACTTTGGTTCTTAATTTTGTATAAATCTCTTACTAAAAATAAAGTTAGATAATCCATCCCTCTACTTACTTGACACTTGGAAATTCTTCTCTAAAATATTTGAAAAAGAAGTATAATATATTTTTAAATTGTTTTAAACTGTGTCAGATTTCTACAAGGAAATCTTTACCAATCTTAGTTCAGAAGAGTTTAAAAAAAAATCTGCAAAATTTTGAAATTGCTTTGAACTTTGATTTTTACATTAATGCTTTTTTTTTTAAACATTTCATTACATTTCAATAGCAGTATATAATAGGCACCTCTGATGCGTCATAAATTGACATGCTATAATTGATCCATTCTATTTTTATTCTTTAGTCTTTAAAAAGCAGCTGTTACTGAGTACTGACTGATCTAATTTTTTTTTTTAACCCAAACCTTTCTACAAACACATAAGTCAGCAGATCTGAAATGCTATGTATTGGTTCCAGTCCCACCAGGTGGAAGGTCAGCTGTCAGTCCACCAAATATGCTATCCTTGTACAACTAGAAATAATGCTGAAAGTGAGTTTCTTGATTTACCAGCAGCACCATTTGTAATTCAGACTGGTTTCACAATGTGCTACTAAACAAGAACACAAATGCCATCTGATACAGAATTATCCTCTCAAGTTTCAGATGGTAAAATTAACAAGGTCATTACAAGCCAGAGTCCCCATACACTAAGCAGCTGAGAGCAACTTTTTAAAGGATAAATCAGTGAGTCGACATGCTCCAGACTTCAATCATGTTTTAACAAGAAATCAACTTAAGTAAAATGTAACAATTCAATCAAATTGGATTGTCAATAAAAAAACAACCCAGAGAGCAGCATTTGTTGTGTTACAATTTTAAATCACCACAAGGTCATTTCTGAGCCTTGATGAAGATACAGCAACACTGCAGTATATGAGTGCATTGGAACAAATGCTGTTTAATCTAAACTGCTTTTTCCATCAACAACAGCTCCAAAGCAAAACGTCTCATGAACAGAATGTTTGCTGCCTGGAGTCAAGCAAAGTGAGGTGTTGAGAAAGTTCTTCAAATGCAGTACATCACTATTTTCTGAACTTCTGGCAAGCTTTGTGAAGTGATTTCCTACTATCAAACAGCATAAAAACAAGGCATTCTGTCCTGTTGTCATTCAGCATTTTGATTTTGAGAAGCTCATGTGAAGTGCAAAATTACCTACAGTTGACCATACTGAGAAATTCACACATGACAAAAATGTTTTCCAATGACAGCTTATTCACAGGCATTCTCTTAATAAATACAGCCAAAAGAAAACTGGAATAACTTCAGCATTTCAGTGGGCAAGTCCACGTATGCATTAATGCACCATAATTATGACACATTAAGTATAGTACCTGTAATAACAGGCACTAATTTAAATGTGCTGTAATTGGCACTTCTGCGCAGTAGTGCTGGTGCACACTTTTTTTGTAACACTAATGCACTGTAGACAAATTCTACTGCGCATTAGCAGTAGCGCAAACACTGTGCTACTGCGCAGTAGAATTAGTCTACTGAGCTTTTAGTGTCCCATGTAGACACTCTCAGCGATGACTCATCTATCACAAGTCCTTATGAAATGCAGTTCAGGTCATCAACAGACAAGTGAATCAAAACAAAACAGGAATCTCTCATTTGACTTGTCTCATGACTTTAAATTACCTAGAAATGTAGTACACACAAATTTGGCTGCCCTAGTGTATTCTGAATAATTCAAATGTGGATTCCTACAATTAAAAAAAAAATTGGAATTAAAAAAAAAAAAAATCTATCCGATAATCAGCATACAAAAAACTTAGCTCAAAGACAAATATAGTAGAGAAGTACGTGAACTTTTGTTGGCTTTTACAATTTAGAAAGTGTTGACTGTAAATCATGTATTGTTTTATCTTGTTCAAACATTTCTGGAAAGTTGTAATAATATCAGTGAGTGAGCTTTCGGATGCTATACACTAAATCATAACCATTTTCATCTTAAGAATTTTGGAGATAAATCTGACATTTGTGGAGAACCGCATCAGCAGAATGCAATTGTATTTGCATAGAACATAAAACTTATTGGCCATCTATTTGTATGTGAATCCTTCTCATCTGGAATAGGGAAGATGCAGGAGTATCAAAGTGGGCCAGACAGCAAGATCGTAATAGGTTTTGGGTTCCAATTCTTCCATAATTTATGTTGATTCCCCACAATGAAGTTAACAGAACTACAAAGGGAGCAATTCAAGGTAGAGTTGCTAAAGATCTATAGATACAGGTTGTATGTGCATGTAGGGAAAAAAAAATGACTGCAAGTATTATTTTAGATTGTTATTTTAAAAGAAGAGATTTTATATATCTTTCACTGAACTATAAATAAAATAGTTCAATGAAAGAATGTTTGAGCAGAACACTTCCTCTCCATTTAGCAGAAATACGCAGCAACGCTGCTTTGGATACCGTATAATTATCTGTTCTTTCTGGCCGTGGGGTTCTGTGGGTGGCAGGCTGAATGGCATGAGGCACTCCTTCCTCAACACCAATGTTTCAGCACAGCATGAAAATGCAAAGATGGCAACGTCAAAGAGTCATTTGAAAGGCCGGAAACATTGATAATGGGAGTCAAGGGCCAAAGGGGTTTGAAGAGGGTGATCAGATGCAGAAGGACTCACACAACTAAGTGAACATAGACAATTTGACTTTACTGCATAAGAACTGTAGACACTGTGTTCGTCATCAGACCAGCTACTGAGACAGTGAGGTGTAATAAAATCTTTTGTATGCGTGTCATAAAGCATAAAGGAGTTCAATTCATTCAAATCATCTGGACCATTTTATGTAAATATCCATTATGCTTTATTATCTATATAGGACCCACAGCCCATGGACTAGCAGAGAAGCATAAAGAGAAGCTAGCTGTCCCAAAGCAATTACAATCCAAGTAGAAATAAAAAGGGAGGAGACGATTTATCCAAAGAATAATGGAAAGGTAGTAAAATAGAACAAAAATGTGAGACTGCACATACAGCAGAGGCATGAGGAGTACTGTACATTTGGGCTGTGCAAAGCTCTGGTCCCTGATTTGATTCAGCCCAATTGGTGGTAGAATCTCCAAATCCAAATCAAATCAGGAGACACTTTAATCTCTCTGAATCAAATCAGAACCCTCCAAATCGATCTGGATAGATTCACAAAGGTTCAGCAATTTGGACATAGACACAGCTTTAAATGTTTTTTCTACATGCCTCAAGGTACCAGGTGGCTTGTGAATGCTGCGATGATGGGGCGCATGGAGCGTTCCACAGGAGTGCGGGGGGCTCCCCAGCATGCTCGGCAACAGATCAGGAAGTGGACCAGAAGTCCCCCCGCACTCCTGTGGACACTCCATCTGCCCCAGCATTGCAGCATTCACGAGCTGCGCCTGGCACCTCGAGGTATGTAGAAAAAAAACATTTAAAGCTGTGTCTATGCCCGAATTGATGGATTCTCTGAATCAGCATCAAATCTTCATATTCGGATTCGGCC